CCAGTTCTTCCCACAGGTTCCCTGCTAGCCACTCTGTCCACATTCATCAAAACTCTATAGTTTCCCTTCCCCTTCAGCCCTTAAAGCTGCAGCCCCAGTGGAAAGTGCTTGTGGCACACAGCAGGCTCTGCGAGCCCTGTGCTACACTGCAGCACCCAGATCTGCCTTCCCTCCTACCATGGCAGAACACAGCATGCCTTCAGAACCCTCCACTGCTACCGGCACTGCTGCAGACAGCTCCCAAGCCCCTTTCTGGGGGTGGAGGAGGTGGGCACCATCCTGGACTGGTGCAGAGATCTTAGATCTCACTGAGATCTGGAGAGAAGAGACAATCCTCCAGGCTCACCGCACTAGGTGCAGGAACGCTGAGATCTACGGCCAGATGGCCGACAGCCCGGGCCAGAGGGGCCACATGCGCACCCAGGAGCAGATGCGCATTAAAGTCAAGGAGCTTAGGTCAGCCTACACAAAGGCCAGAGAGCACAGCTCCCACTCAGAGGCAGCACCCCAGATCTGCCCCTTCTTTGATCAGCACCACAGCATCCTGGGAGAGTGGTCATTCCCTTCCTCTCCACTTGTTGTAGACTCCTGACTGGAGACATCCATTGTTACCCTCCCAGAGGGCATGGTTGGGGCTGAGGAGGAAGAGCAGGACCAGGCCACTGATACCACCATGTCCACCAACAAGGAGCTCATCCAGCCCCTGGAGCTGGTACCACCCTGCCCATGGGGGCAGCCTGCAGTAACTGTACCAGGAAGTGCACCATGAGGTCCAGGAGCTGGTGACTGCTTGGCAGCAGGTCCACTTCCATGGCTGGAGTGCTATAGTGTCCACAAGGGCAACCAGAGCAGGCAGTGAAAAGGCTTTGCAGTCCCTCAAGGAAGTAGGCAAAAGAGAGGAGTCTGAGTCATGACTGTACAGGAGGGTCCTTTTAAGCACACCTGAAGTGCTTCCGGGGCTGAGGGGAGAGCTTTAAATGCGACTGAGGCTTCAATCCGTGTCGATGTTCTATTTTGAAATAAACTATTTCAGAGTTTTAATTCTGAAATAGCTTATTTCAAAATACCACTACTGTGTAGACATACCCTAAGGTGCCACAGAACTCTTCATAGTTTCTTTGACTTGTTATATATATTTTTTTATTTGTATAGCTACTTTCACTCCCATTTAAATCAGATCATTTTAAGAATTGTAGATTTTTGGGCATCTAGTAAAGTAGTCTTAAACAATTCCTAGTAATATGCTTATACTGTTTTAGATCAAGGTTGGGTGGCCTTTTCTAATATACTACGGTGTTTGGGGTTAGTCAATCACAGTATCCTGTTTTTCACATTATCCCTCAATCTTTTCCTTCTCAGGAAACAAATCTACTATAGTCACGGATATTGTATACATTTAGATGTTCCTTGATGTACCATGTGGCCAGTGTTAAATATAAGGTTCTTTTTCACAGTCTTGGTCTTAATTTATAAATACACTAAGGTTAGTTAATATTCAACTCTACTACCCTAAATTCATAGGAAAACTGCAAATTGTAAAGCCAGGCATGTTTATCTGAATGGAGGAAGTGCTAACATAGTTTCCATCAAAAATGTTTTCAGCTTAATAACAATGATTTTATTAAATCAGTTTCCCTAAAAAGAAAGACAGAAAATGAGAAAACAGAGGGGAAACGATCACAGTAAATTGTATGTGGTGGTATTTTACATTATAATGAAGCAAGGAGCACCTCGTTTTGTTAAGAAGATACTGTGGTGTAGGGTCAAGTCAGGCTGAAATCTGGTCTAAAGGCAAAATGCATGGGCTGTCATAGTCTTTCTCCAAAGATAGGCTGTATGTGTTAGGTCAGTGTCATAACAGATCATGCATGATCTTAAACATTGATACTCTAAATGTCTACACTATGCGCCTTGCCGGAAGAGGCAATGCAAATGAAGCATGCATGGATTAACATTTTCTCATGCTTCATTTGCATAATCTTTTCAGATCCGTTTTTGCGCAAGAGGTTTTTGTGCGAAAACAAGCAGTATGGATGTTTCCATTTTGCGCAAAAACTCCTGCGCAAGATCCTTATGCCTCCTTTGTGCAAAAAGGAAACATCAACACTGCTTGTTTTTGTGCAAAAACCTCTTGTGCAAAAACGGATCGGAAAAGATTATGCTAATGAAGCATGAGAAAATGCTAATCTGCGCTTCATTTTCATTGCCTCTTCCGGCAAAGCGCATAGTGTAGACATAAGAGTATCCGCTCATTAATGATAGGATGCAACTCCATGGGGAGGAATATGTGTTCTTTATTTTTCATGCATGAATGATTCTGTGGGTCAAATTATGCCCTCGGATAATTTATTGGTGTACATTTAAAAAAATGCAGCTGCACAGGTGCCTGTAAGAGCATAATTGGTTGGTACCGTCTAATTTATTGATGACGATGCATGAGAAGGAAACCCTCCATGAATTTAGAACTGAGGTTAGGTTTTCAGCTGTAGTGTTTGGGGGAGGAGAGGAGTAGAGTGTAAAGAAATTATTTTAAAATTTGGTATGGATTTTATGAAACAAACTGGAACTCCTCAGAATCCATTCTTGCAATCACTTTTCAGAGTGGAACTGTACTTTAAGAATATCAGCATACCTTATAGACTCATAGACTTTAAGGTCAGAAGGGACCATTATGATCATCTAGTCTGACCCCCTGCACAGTGCAGGCCACAGAATCTCACCCACCCCTCTTAGAATAATCCTCTCACCTATGTCTCAGATATTGAAGCCTTCAAATCCTCCAGCTGTAATCTGTGCCCCATGCTACAGAGGAAGGCGAAAAACCTCCAGGGTCTCTGCCAATCTACCCTGGAGGAAAATTCCTTCCCGACCCCTATTTCCTATTCAAATTTTATGACCTACAGAATAACTAGATGGCTAGCAATAAGACCACTACCTGCTTATGAAATGGCACAGAAGCTCAGAAATTTCAAGTGTGGTATGTATTAGAATATTTTTCTTATTGTGTCATGTCTTTATTTCGTGTTAATCACATATAGGATTTATATTTTCCTATTCAGGAAAATCTTGACTGTTTGCTGCTGCACAATCATTTTCCCAAAGAGGAAAGCATGATGATCCTATATGATCACTAATTATGTGCTAATTGTGCTCTGTGACATCAGTTTTTCTCCTCTTCTGATTTACAACACGTAACTATGGAAACTGTGGGTGGATGCTTCAGTAGTGCTAGAAATGAGTAGGCAGGAGAGTTTAATCATTTTATTAAGACCTCAGGACAGATCTCTTTTGCTTAGTCAGTAATTAGAAGAAATTTAAATTAGAGGAAATCTTATTAAAACCAGTAAAATGACCTTTTTTAATTGCATTTCAAAATAGATACTCGTGAGAAACTTGGTAATAATGGCTCACACTTAAAGTAAAAGGCCCAGTCAGCTATCTATTTATCTAGGTTTTTATACCACACCCATCACTGTAATTTAGTATCTGAATGCCTTTGATTCATCATGTCAGGGCCACCCATTTCAGATCATGGAATGGGCCATATATCACATAGCACTCAGAGGGTGTGTCTAGACTACAGGGTTTTGTCAACAAAAGTGGGCACCTTTGTACTCAACACAAGTACGCTGCTGCTGCTATTTATACTCACTGGCGTGAGTATGTGTACCCAAGTAAGGAATCATGCCTTTACCTTTCAGTGTAGCCTAAGAGGCTCAGCATAAACCTCAGGGTGTGTCTAGAGACTACAGGGTTTTGTTGACAAACGTAGACTTTTGTCAACAAAACTATACCTGCGTCTACACTACTGCCATGTTCTGTTGACAGTAAGTCCCTGTGTGGCAGTAATCTCATCTTTTCTTACAGTCGCTACAGACTATGACCATAGTGTACATTTCAATAGCCCTGAAATTCCTCTGCTTGTTTTACAACACTGGGGACATGTGGACAGACAATTCCCAAGACTGAAGGGACAAAAAGGACATTTGCATGCCTCCTCCCTTGGTTGCATCAAGCACTGCTTAGCCCCAGTTGAGGAACTTTTTCTCTTACTCTGCTAGCACTTGAAAAAGAAAACTATCCATCACTGTGCCAAAAGAGGTTTGTCAATATACACTTATGGGCCAGATACTGGCCCCTAGTGCTGCTTGTTTTGAGCCAGTCAGGTGGCAACAATAGGTGGAAGCTTAGCTACTTAGCTGGCTAGTGATTCCCCTGGCATCCGAGTCACATTTAAGTGTGCAGTTAATTGCCACAGGTTGTTGGTCAGCCCAACAACTGAGGGTGCTGGCTACTATCTGGGGCATGACACATGACAAAGTGGGCCTTCATTTCAGGGAAGAACACGATATGGATCCCATATCACATAACACTCTGAGGTTGGAGAACTATGTCAAAGAGCTGTTTGATGAAGCATGACAACTCCTGAGTTGGGGTAAGGCTTCAGAAAGTGCATGTGATCCCACAGTGCTATAACAGCAATGACAGAACAGCTCCATGCCTGTGGTATAACTTTATGAGGAGCACAGTCTATGGTGCACACTTGTTTTCTTTAGGTTGTGTGTAGTGGGTGAAATCCTAACTCTGGTGAAGTGAGTGGCCAAATTTTCACTACATTCAATAGAGCCAGGATTTCACTTTAGAATTTAGCCCTGAGCAAACAAGACATAGCATTAACATAAGATGTTAATGTGACTGACAGACCGAAATCTATTGTTATTTTACAGCCTGAGTACATTTTGTCAATGCCTAAATTCATAGAGTGAGATCTTATAAAAGGCAGAAAATCCAATTTTGTATGCAATGAACCCCTGAACAAGCATGTGGGACAGTTTTGTTTCTCTCATGCTGCTCCAAATAAAGAGAATTTTCTGAATTTAACCCTACAAGAATATCCCATTGTAGTTTCTTCTGTTTACTCCATTTTGATTCTGTTACATTTGCAGGTATCATATTCCTTAAGCTGGAATAAAAGATTTTCAAAATAAAACAAAAAGTCAGAGTATAAAGAATGTTCACTTACCTGCAAGGAAGTCTTGCACAATAAGAGTCACAGTTGCATTCTGGGGCTCAGGAAGTGCCTCTATGTCAGCTAAACAAGTCAGCGTCTCATTGGCCATTGGAGTCAAAGTTAAAGTGCTCACTTCATTGTGAAGATCATTAGATCCTTGACTGTGGTTAGTAACATACCTGGACTTATCTACAGAAGAATTATTTATCATCCAGGTCATGTTTGGAGCTGGAGCCCATCCTAAGGCTTCACAAACAATGTCAACTGTTTCATTCTTTCTTACTGTCAAGTTGTGATTTTTAATGAACAAAGATCCATTAACTGTGGGGAAAAAAGTTGATTTCTTCCTTCAGAATATTAAACCCTTCAGAATATTAAACTGCAATGGTGTGTTATTTGGGGATTTTAAATCATCTCTTTCTACCAAAAATCAATCATTTTTTGAAACTTGCCAGTAAAAAAAAATAATTAAAATAAAATAAAATAGAAAACCTAAAACATAGGAGTGTTGTTTACATGAGATAAATATGGAGTCATTGCAACTTCCTGGCCATGCTGTAGTCCAGTTTGGGTTTACAACGAGACTTAGTTTTCCACTATCTGTTCAGTGAAAGCTTTGGAGTGACACTGTTTGATCACACTGAAATATCTCCTGCACCAGCTGAACTACCATGTATCATCAGAATTTATCAAGGGATGTTTATAGAAAGGTGATGGCTCTTAGTATCAGGCATCTTTTTTGGACCAATAAATAGTAGATGGAGGGAAATTCCACTTTATGGGATACATGTACTTTCTCACAATAATGATACTAGAAGAAGTCAACAGAGAGAATGTCTGATGTAGCTGTAGTGTATAGCAGCAGTCATTCCAAGGTATCGCCTCCGTACTCAGAGACTAAATGTTTGCACTACGTTAAACCCAACACAAAGAAGCTGGGTGGAGGCTGACAATTCCTAGGTCAGACAGTAGGAAGGCTTTTTACATAAAATACAGAAGAAGTTTTATGTGCAACGCCAAAGGAAAAAAATCCCTGAAGAATGTGACCAAAGGAGATTATTTTCAACTGATGTCTGACAGTACTGATACTGGCTTCCAGCACACAGACCAAAAAGAATAAGAGTTGTTACAAGAAAAGTGAATATAACTGAAGTCTTTTGTAGCAGCAGCTTCATTATACCTTGGAATGCCAATCTGCATGTGAAATTACTAATCCAGCTTTCAAGATGAGAAATATAGCAGGTGTGGGGTATTACACGAAGTTGGTACAAATGCAAAGTGATCATTTTGGCCATGTGCCAAAGGATTTCTTTTCAGTACAATTTAATAAAAATCATGTGACAACAATGAGAATGCATACACACCTTGCACAGAAAGAAAAGCATAGCTGTTGGGATCAGTCGTTTGGATGCTGCATTCTATTTTTCCAGAATCATTCTGTTGGACATTGTGGATGATCAGCTCTGAAGTAAATTCATCACCACTGGTATAATTTTGTTGAGTGAAGCGATCTATTGTTATAATAGCTCCGCCAACATTACTTGCTGATAAAACAGGATTTGTGTTTAAAGTCCAAATTATTATTCGCCATCCTTTGAACACAGTACAGTTAAACCGAGCCTCTGAACCAACTAGGACTGTTGCATTAGCAGGGCAGTAGATGGTGTTCCCTTCTGGTTTCTTCCTTGTGAGGTCCCTGCCAGAGCTTTCAGCACTGCAGAGCCTGTGGAGAGAGCTTGAAAGCGATTGCTTACCTCTATAGTATCAGGGGATTCCCGTGCTGGCCTTTTTCCCCTTCTAGACGTTACATGCTGCCAGTTCTCTTCTTGGTCACGTACTGCCCTCTCTGGCTCTTCTGCCTGCCGTGCTTGAAGGATTAAATGCTGCCTTCTATCGAGGAAGCAGCAGCAGACGCATCATCAACCATCGCTGCTGTCCTGGAGAATGGATTTAAAAAGAAAGACAAGAGAACCTCCCGCCCTTCCCTCTCCCCTTCAGAACTCCCTCTCAAAACTCCCTGTTAGCAATCACCTGTTGCTAGCTCCTTGGTCGCTTGCCCACTGCCTTATAAAGCCCCTCCCCCTACCAAGGCTCAGCCAATCAGCAGAGGCTTCTACAATTCAAACTTTAATTAGAAGCCAACAGTTTCCACCTGCCAATCACAGCCCCTACCAATCACAGCACAAACTCTATCAAGGGGAGGGGGGAAGGGAAAAAAAAAAAAAAACCTCACTCTCAATTAAATAAGAAGCCAACATTTTCCACTTGCAAATCACAGCCAATCAAGGGGAGGGAGAGGGCAGAGGGGAGGTGGGGGAGAAAAAAAAAAGCCTCACTCTCAAACACAGGGGGAAATAAATAAATAAATAAACAAAAAAACAAAAAAGAACACACACCAACCCTCACTCACAAACACAAGCTCAGCACACAGCAAGAAAGCCCCAAACACAACCCCCACTTCCCTCAAGACTCCTGTATCTGCTTCTCCTCTACCTGGAGAACTCCCTCTCTAAAGCCTCCCTCAAACAGGGGGGGAGGAGGGAAAGGGAAAAAAAAAAAAAAAAACCCACAAACCACCACACACCAAACAAACACAAGCTCTGCACACACTGAGAAAGCCCCAATAACAAAACACACTTCCCTCAAGAGTCCTGTATCTGCTTCTCCTTCACCTTGGTCTGATCTGTGTTCTGTTTTTAATGCAACTCATCCCTTTGTGTAATTAAGACTGGATTACTGCAGTGCATTCTATCTTGGGTTGCCTAAGAAGCAGCTTCAGCCTGCAGCTATTACAGAAGAGAGCAACATGCTTATTATCACGGGTGGGCAGATGGGATTTGGTCTCCCTGCTGCTTTGTTCTTTGTAGTGGGTGTCTATTGGCATGTGTTTTGGTTTAAAGATTTGTACCATACTACATGAAGAGCTACGTAATTTAACTCTACGATTGTTTTGACACTCTTCTGGCTATCTTACTCTTTCAGGGCTGGGAATAGCAGGTGGAAGGCAAACATTATAATATTGTAAGTTTGAGTCAGACAGATTGATCAATAAATAAAAAGGGAGGAAATATTAAACAAATGGACTTTGTTATGGTATATAAATAGCTGGTAATTTTTTTCTGTTGTCCAACTTTGTTGGCAAATGTTGGGTTCAGAACTGAAGCTGTTGATCCCTAATAAGAATTAGTCACATCATGAACTCTGGAAAAATGTGCCAGGGTAGAACAAGATGGTAAATATGATTTTGTCATGAGCAAAGACAAAGGCATGAGTAGCCAAGAACTAAAGCCCCCCAAATCCCTACCAAATGTATTTATTTCTGTTTATAAAAATGTGCTCAGTTAGAGCTCTGAGTGCATGTACAATATTATTAAAAATATATTCACATTTAACAGATTAGAGCATTTAAAAAAGAGCAGAATATCTGATTTCCTCAAGCCAACCCTGAAAGGAATTCAGGAGAAAATAAATAGGCTGGCTCTGTAATATTTTTAATGGTGAACAAATTCAATGAGAAAGGTAGAACAATTAATTCTAAACTTCTGGAAAAGAATCTGCCACAACACTCCTTCTTTTTGAATTTGGGGGGCTTTTAGCTTCATTGCCTCTTGCTGTGATGTCACATGAGAAGGCTTCTTCAAGATTGCATCTGCAATGGTTCAAGCATTAGACCAGGCCAAGGGGGACCATTGGTATCATGTCCACACTAGTAAGTCTCCTTGTTGCTACTCTGCTGGTGCTGAACTAGTGGTAACGAAAGAACATTTAGAAAATGTTTAGTGCAGAAAAGAGCTAAGGTCATCAGTTATTCAGTTCCCTACTGTCACTAGATGACTAAATTGCTTTGGTTGTCTGGTTCAAGAAGAAAAATTCATTTTCTATTTCAGCATCTCTTCTCCACACACACTCTCCTTGCTATGTATGCACTGCTGACATTAACACTGACTTTTTGTTGTTTAGTATTTGCCATTGATTCCCATATACTTCTAGTTAAATTGTGATAGGATTTTAAAATCCTACTGAGTTAACACATGCATAATTCTGAATGTTAGTGATTAGTGCTTTTGTTAGTGGTTAAATACCTCTTGGCAATTGGTGCATTCCTTTGTCCTTGTATACATTTCCATTTCTGCTTCTCATAGAGAGTACATGTGTAACTGAACAATTTCATATTATTTTTTGAGTTAGTGTAGAACAAAGAATAATAGCAACTATTATAAACAAAGAGGTGCTTTCTTTGGTTCTTATACTAAAAATAGTTAGCACTTTTAGCACATTATGACAATTTTAAAAATTTCTTAGCAATTTAGTAAATTACCTTGACATTCTTCAAGTCATTTGGCATTAGTAATATTAACACCTGCTTTGGATAGGATTGTCTTTTCACTGATGTTCGTTTTAAGATTTGGACTGTAAATGCTTTAGAGATTTTATTAAAGCAATTCAGTCTTTGAAGTATTGGTTTAATCTCCCTACCTCTCCAATCTCAAACTTCAAAATGATGGAATTTGTTAACTGTCAGACCAGTTCAAAAGTATCTAAAGTGAGGGGCAATTTTCAGAGAAGAATGAAATGGGTAAGAAAGACCAACACATGAGAGAATTGAGAAAAAACAAGAGTTTGAAACAATATACAATTTGCTTTTTAAAATTAAATAGCAACTGCTGGATAGATTACTTAAAAGATAAATGAGAAAATCAACTATATAATCTATTTCAGTATAATGAGAGATCAGCAGTTTACTTAAGGCTTGCATCTATGCATAGCCAGTTATGTAGGAGTTCATTCTTCTTCACCTAACTGAAGTTATGATTGTACCTCTCAGTAGTGGTGAAAATTAGAATGTATTATTCACTATGAATAAAGATGAAAGAGTTGGGGCTTCAGTAATTTTTTTTATATTATTAACATTTTGAAATGCTCTTTCACTAGGATTTTCAGTTGCTCATTTTAAAGGGTTTCTTTGTACGTTGCGCATCATATTCATCCTATAATGATAAAACTTACTATTGCTGGAATCTTCCCTTCCTGCCAATTATAGTTACTGTTGTTATTTGCATTGCAAGAGTACCTAGGAGTCCAAAACAGGATCTGGGGCTCATTGTGCAAGGTGCCGTAAAGGCATAAATCAAGAGAATTTGGCTCCAAAGAGTCTAAATAAGACAAAATGGTGCTGGACTGAATGAGTCCAATGTCTGCTTTGGCTCTTGACAGGAAACTAGGTCCTCAGGTCAAATCCCAGGAAGGGAGTTGACACTGACCACATGCAGATTAAAATAAAAATACCATTGTGATTGCAGAGTACCTACCCCTGCTATTCTATCAAAAAAGAGGAATTGAATGAATGGGTAGCTGCCACTTAACTGGTTTTAATAATTACTAACACTTGAAAATTCACTAACTTCAGCAAATCTTGGTTTTGTATTTCCTGTTCCCTAACTTAGGCAACATTTAGCTGCTCCTATAGTAATAGATCGGGTTTGAAGAAAATGTCACAAAACTGAAAGTCAGGGAGTCCTTGGCTCTGTAACATCTTAGGGGTCTTGGGCACAGAACACCACTGTTGTTGCTTTGTCGTCCCATGAAATAGGCATAGTAGTCCTTACTTACCTAAGAAAGATATTATGCTGAACAATTAGTTTAATGTTTGTTCAGTGATTTGAATAGGTCAAGTGCCATTTAAGTGCAAAATTATTTTTTACTGTAGCTTAAGTGACAATGCACCAGTAACTATTACTGTTACCGTAACTATTCAGAGTAAATACCTTGGAGTTAGTTTAGTATTGTATCTGTTCTCTTTAGATGTTTTCTTATTAGACTCACTCTCGTCCATCGCTAACTTCCATTTTGAATGAGCAACATGTGAAATAACTCACTCAGGCTTTTCTGACTATCAGCAGTTAAGCAGCCAACAGTTTTGTTTAAACTCTGACAAAATTCAGCTCCATAAAATAATTAATTATCCCATTATTAAACCAAGATTCAAAATATATAAGATAATCAAAATGTGTTGAGCAAGGGAAGGAAATCTATCTCAAAGGGAAGAGGCTTTAAAAATCAATGATTCTGAAATGTATAAACAGTTGTTTCATTATCTAGTTAGTTGTATTTCACTCAGACTGGATTAAATGTCTTTCCAGTATCATCTATGGCTGTTATATATTCCCAACCACATATTTGCACTTTTCTCATTATCAGCTCCAAACACCTCAACTCACTACAGGCTCACAGATACATATGTTCTCACACACCTATATGGTTATATAATGACTAAAGAACATCTGGTTAACACCTTTATTTCAAAATAAAGGTTTCAATTTGTGATTTTTCATTCCTACCCAGCTAAAACTGCATAATTATTATCCCAACACCCCCAGACTTTAATTACATGGCTTTATAAAAAAAGAAATGCCAATACAGAAGCCACCCCATTCAGAATTAGACTCAGGCAGTAGCTATCACAGCTGGATCCACACCACCTATTGTTGAAAGACTTGGGTTTTAGTGAATGCATTCCCACATCCGTGGGACCCATTTCATTCTAGTTTAAACTACCACATAGTTTGGCCGAGTGAGGGCTCAGGGTGTTTAAAAAAAATTAAATAAAAAAAGCGGTGGATTGCTTAGCAGGGGCTGTGTGTGTGGAAGTTTCACGTGCTAGATACAACCGCAAGGGGCACAGAGTGTAAATGGGGCAGAAGCTGGATCAGAGGCAGCTCTGTCTTTCCCACCACTGTCCTGTGCCTATGATAGAGCTGCTGTTGTCAGTGTTCGGGGTGAGCCCAGAGGTGAAAGTAAGGGGGGGGTGCACCGCTCCGGCAAGAGCTGGCTGAACTGCGGCAAAAGCCAGCAGGGAGCTTATGTAAAAGCTGGCAGGGACACAGGCTGCAATAGGGCAGCACCCCAGAGAAATGTCACTTTCCCCGCTGGGTGAGACGGGGGAGGAGGAAGGAGAGGAGCCCCCTAGTGCCCCTCCATGCCAGCAGGGGCTGCTGACACA